CACCACCTTTACAAACTAGACCCCAACAGTGGCCTCTGCAGATCTGTGTACATGAATTGTGTTCCACTCCTGACTATTTACACAGAGGATATTCTCTGTGTAGTGTGCTCACCCGAGGTTTTATAGACGAGCACCGCACTGGGGAAATCTGAATTTTAAAAATTTATCATACTCACTGGTTTCTTTATTCTATATTCCCCACTTAGACCCTATTGATAACAACGTGGAGGATGGATGCACTTTCTGAACCTTTTTGATCGTCTCAGTCACACTAGATTAAAAAAAGAGGACAGAGAAACCAGAGACTGACACCAAATCAAGAGGAGTCCTCTCTTGCTTGCTATGTTGTCACATTTCTGCTTGAGACTACCATGTGCTCAGAGGCAAGGGTATCTGCCGTGGTTTCCTAAAAGGTCTTTATTTCTTCGTGACATACAGCTGAATTCAAAACTCTCGATGTATGAAAATGTAAGTAAAATTTAACTCTGCAGCAACAATTTCACAGAGTCTGCTAGTGTACCTCTTGCAAAAAAAAAAAAAAAAACCCAGGTTGAAAATACACGCTTCAGGTAAAAACTCTCCCCTGAACTTTCCAAACCCAGACAACATAGAAATTCTGTTATTTGAACTATTTTAGAGAAAACGTAGAAATGAGGGGAGCCTAACAGCTGTAAGCAATAAAGCTTGATGTTAATATCAAACATCTTACTATCACTTTCAATACTTTTTATGCAGACAGCAGTATGGAGGAGGTGAGTCACTACGTGTTGCATTTACAATGGTGTGCACACGGAACTGGTGTCAGAATTCAGCTCAGGAAAACGAACAGTCTCCTGCAACTACCAAAATGAGGCAGATTGCAAAACCCGACAAAAACAAGTGTTTACAATTCAAAGAGCTGCTCTCATTAATAGAATTTATAAACAGCAATGACCATGAAGAAAGGAAAATTATTTAGCAGGCATTTTGTTTGCGACAAGCCTTTACTTATAGCTGATGGCAAGGGAGAGGTGTCAATGTGTGCGAAGATGTCAGACTACCCCCAAAAAGCATTTTACCTCCTTACGTGCACCTGCTGCCCTCCTCCCTGACAGAGGCGCACAGCTCAGGTGTCAGCTCTCTCTCAGAGTAATCCCAAAGGCAGGCTTGGCTTACCACGACACCAACAAGATTTCAAGGTCTTTTGAATCGCAGTGCAAACCACGAGCTCCCCACAACCACCGTGCATCCCAGATGTGGGGCAACTTGCTTCTTCTGAAGGAACCCGTGTTTGCAGTAGCTGTGCCCATGGGTTTTCCTGCGTGTTTCTGGCTCCCAAGGCTGCCGTGGTCAGCCTGCCACGTTTGAGGCTGGCAGCAGGGATGCCTGCAGAGCCCTGCCGTGGCCTTCACCCCTGTGGCTCGGCGACAAGCATTTGTCTGTCTTTGAAACCACGTTCACTGTGGTTCACCATTCACATGCAGGGACACTTCTGCTCAACTTCAACTCAGACCCACGCTGGGCAGGTCGTGACCCGCTTGCTGTGGACACCCATCTAGCTGGGCTTTGCTCTCATCACCTGGCGGAATGAACAGGCAGAGCTGGCTTCATTCAGCTAACTGCAATCTGGTTTCTTTTCTGATTTTAAATCTGATTTGTTGCCGTAAGAGATTAACTGATTCTATGTGGCTAGCCCGCGCCTTTCATGAGCCACAGCACAGACAGGCAGCAATGTCTTTAGGTGGATTGGAATCAGAGCTTCTTTTACATCAAGTGGCTCAGTCAACAGCCTGCACTATAAAACAGTAAGTGCAAGAAGACCATGGTCTTTGGCAGTAGCACTTCTCGCAAACATATTTTTATTTATCTGGAGGTCAGATTTGAAATTACAGGCAGGAGAATCTGTCTTCTGTTGTAGCTGTACCTAGGCTGGCAGCCACACTGCTCTGACTTGTCCCAGCTTTTCTGGTGTTGCCCGGATTTGCTGCACACCACTGAGCCTGGGTCAAGACTCGGGTCACGGGTTTGAGAGGTTACATGATGCTACACCTGGTTATTTAGATGCTACATCTTGGGTAGTGGTTTCCTACCGCTTTCCCCTTGTTTTTTTTACCTAGTTGTCACACAGCCACCATGTATCAAAGTGAACACATTCACATCAGCTACTGGCACTCAGGTTAAGGACTGGTGAGGAGAAACGTTCTTTCTATTGCTGTTCAGAAATCACACTGGCTCCGCCTTGGAGCTTGCCACTTAGAAATAACTCTCAAATTCAAAGACAGATGGATGGGCATGCACTAAGATGCAGAACGTGCAGCCTTTACTGAGCATGTGTAGGATTTTAAGATGTGTTTCTGTGCAACTTCATCAGTCCCAGAAAACTTGTTGGTAGGGTTAAGAAGACAAAGTCATTGGGGAAATCAAGAGAAAGACTGAGTTATAAACTTTCGTTTAGATTTCCCACTCTGAACAAGCACAAAACAAGGCCAGGGCATGCTCACGTGCTGTTCTGTCACACAAAAGACTATCAGAAATAGTATCTTTCCGTCTTTAGAGTCGAAGGGCACCAATGACTTCCCCTTTAACAACGCAACCTAGTGTTAAAGCTCTTCTCAGTTTCACCAATGAAGTGGGGTGAAAAAAAATTTTGCTCTTCTCAGCAAGACACTAGCCACAACTGGAACGTTTCATGAGAAGTTAAGTAATTGTTTGAAGCCAAAAGACTTAAAATTAATGTGGGCAGAAGAACACATCAAAAGGAGAATGACAAAAATAGACTTCATAAAGTACCATGGAACAATGTTAGGATATGTTTAAAACAAATGCACGTATATCAATGTCCCAAAACAGTTACTCTGGTCACAAAAACCACCCTAACACCATACTGCAGTGCCACTAGGCATTAACACACTAGGATAATCCTGTTCTAATGCTTCTGACCCAAATGGGATTACACTCATGGCTTTCTCAGGCTTCTCAATTTTTCTTGGACGTTCCTACCAGGGTCAGGAGGGTGCTAGACAGCACGCGGCAACAAAGTGCTCAGAGGCTGAAATAACAGCTTGGATTATACATATAATCCACACAGATGAGGCTGTTCAGATACAAGGAGTCTTCCTGCTTGTGTCATCCTGCTCCCCAAATTTATCCAAATCTTTTCTGGGCTGAGACTGTGAACCTTTGGGAAAGCTCAGCAGAAATTCAGAGGGCTCAGGAATATTGGAGGACTGGTTGCCGGACGCTACAGAGCAATGCATTCTTTCAAATGTAAATGGACAAAACACGGTCATAAGTGTCAGGGAAATGTAAAAGAAACAAAAAAAAAAAAAAGAAAAGAAAAAAAAGAATATGAAAATTTGGGCCTCCTTACCCGTCATACAGTCTTTGTTCTGTGTCAAGGGGTTCTATTTGCTTCCTTCACTGGCACAAACAAAATTATTCCCATTAGCCCCAAGGAGAGGTGACAGCTAGCTACGCAAGCGAGAGATGGATTCTGTTCTGCATCACACAAAATCAACAAAATAGTCAAATGTGTTCTAGCTCAACAACTGTCTTCATTTTTTTTTTTTTTTTTAATTTTTCAATTTGCACTAACAGCAATGACGATGTGATAAAAGAAGTCAAATGAATGTGGCACGATTACCAGGTTGGGTGGTTGTGAGAAGTTCCTGGCATGAAGCTGGGTAATTTATTTGGTGAATTTTATTGAAAATATTATAAAACAAACTGAAACGTCACTTCTGTGGAATTACCTTTCAACAACCCACTGCCTTAGCTTCTGAAAGGCCCTATCCATTTATGTTAGGGGGATTTAAAACTAAAGTAAAATGTCTTCCTTCAGTAGAGATGCTGATTACTTGAGACAAGACTAGAGGAACAAAGTGATTACATAACCTTTCTCCTGTATTTTTGATTTGGCATATGCAGTTCACAAGAATAGTTCCAACTTAATACACTTGATAAATTTTTAATCAGGCTAACTGTGACTTGACAAAACAGCAGAGCTATTTTTATTTAAAAAGTAACTAAAATATCATCAGCTGAAAAACCTGGCATTTTTCATCTATTCTGCAAGAACACAGAGGCTGCAAACACACAGACTCATATCAAAAAATTATGTTGCAACTCTCCCATACTTCTGATATTTTAAAGGATGCAGCTGCTGAATTTTTCTAGGGGGTAATCATTTGTCCATTTATGATTTTGAACAAAAAAATCTTTCAATCTTTGCTAAAAAGGCCAACAAAGAAGTAACTGGATAAAATACAAATAAAAGCACTAGTATTGGAAACAAAGTATTTAATTACAGTAAAAATATTTAAGCTAAAATTAAAATAATTTGGAAGTTAAAAATTAAAAGGGCTCATCAATTAAGACTTTTTTTAACTGGAACACTTTGTCCCTGTATAAAATAATACAAATCTAAATCTGTTAATGGAAAATGTATGTATCTTCGCTATCACAGAATCACAAACTGGTTTGGGTTGGAAGAAACCTTTAAAGATCACCTAGTCCAACCCCCCTGCCATGGGCAGGGACACCTTCCACCAGCCCAGGTTGCTCAAAGCCCCGTCCAACCTGGCCTTGGACACTTCTGATGATGGGGCAAGGACGTATATCATCAGAGGGTTATCTGACTATAACTAATGTAATCTATTTATTGCACTGTTTTGCTATGCTATACTACTTTAGGGAAAAAAACCAATACAAAACAAAACAACAAAAGCATTCCTCTGCTGTTTCCCAGTGATACAAAGACAAAGCAAAGCTGTCATGACTCGAAGTGGCTGGAATGATAGATAATGGTTTCACCTTGCCTCTGAAGGCAGCAGCAGGTCTGACACCAATTGCAGGTGAAGGATCAGGGCTTTATCACTGGAGCTACAGCCACCCCCCCACCCCCCCCCCACTACATCTAAGCAATGAAATAAGCCAATCAATAACCTGCACATTCACTGCCACCCTCCTTTCTTGTTCAGCAAAAGAACAGTAGCAGAGAAAGCGATCGTTCGGTATCTCACCTCGCTATCTTGTCGCTGCAGGACATGGTAAGCAGCCTTTCTCCTTGCAACACGCCATCCCACGTCTGGATAGTGGTAGTAGAGCGCACGGGGATGGTCCCTTCCCCAGATTCTATTTTTGTCCGTAGTTGTCCTCTTGCTTTGCGGTTTGGATGCCTGTCCCCTTGATCTAAATGACAAAAATCCCTTTCAATCAGCTGAGAAACATTCTCTGCGTGTTTTACAGAGAGCATTACAATAAGAAGAGTCGATTAAAGGTATTTGCCTGCATAACTGCCAACTTGCGTAACAATTCATACTGCTCCTTGCAAATTAGCTACAGCACCGGACACCTCTCACAAATACCATCTTCTAAATCACACCTGCAATTAAAGCAAGCTTTCCACGAAGGAGCAGTATGCAGCAGGTAGCTCTTCGATTCTGCTCTGCATGTTACAGTGTTAGAATGAAGTTAATGGACAGATCAAGAAAGGGGCAGGCAGACAACCACCGTTAAAAGATGGAAGCAGTGAAACGGTTCGGTTAGTTCTGTACAGATACTTGCTGACTCACTGGCTTATCTCGGCTAGCATTCAGCCTCTTCCAGACCACATGGTGGATCAGTCTATACTTAACTTCTACCACACAGGAAGAACAGCTCAGATTTTTTTTTGAAGAGATCTTTGTCTAACACACATCTACACTAAAAGGAAAGAAGACACCTAAATTTTAACTGTGCCACTTGTACATGCTCAAAGAATACTTCAAACTCCCTTGCTCGAGTAGGACTGCAGTCATACCCTCTTGTGCTGCTTCGTGTGGTGAGAAAATCCTAGCGTCGCCACAAGGAGATGTGCTGATATAGAGATGAAACTGCACATTCTCCTTCAGCTTAAACCCGCCTCGCTCTGATTTGATAAAAATGGACTTTTGTTTATCTTCTTTATTGCTGAAACAGAGAATAAAGCTAGAGTCAAAACTGACATTAACACATAAATAACCATAAGCTGGGCAAGTCTTAACAGGCATTAAAAATAAACACAAAATGTCTGGAAATTTTATAGTATAAATCTAACAGTTATTACAATTAACAAAATTAAAAGACCATTGAGACAAGAAATAGAGAGCCCTTGGCATCCCCAGATGTCAAGAGCTGTCAGGCACTTACCAGCAAATGAAACATCACCACCTTTTAGCCCATGTGAGATTATTTGGATTTACATGCTTACAGTTTACAAAATGATTCCCAATTATTTTTTCTGTCCTCCCCTCTCATGACTGTCAGCTAACTGAATACGTGTTTTGTTAAAGTCAAGCTTTAGGGCAAAGGGCCTGAGTTCTAAATGAAACATCCAAGTGCAACAGGACAAGTGTTTCACATTGAAATAATTAAGACAGATGTTTTAGACTAATGCCTTTTCAGCTCCATGTGATCAGCTCATCTTCTTTTTCCCTCCAGCTTACCTTAGATAAAGCTCAAGTTGTGTATACAGAAATTTAAGCAGGCACCTGCGAGATATAATTTCCGCATGGCAATCATTTAATGCAAGACCACGGTCACTCATGTATTCACCATTGATGCATTTTGTTCCCGTAGAAACACTTATTACCAGGGCATCTTTCACATCTGTACCTGCCAAACAAAATTTCAGGATGAAGGTGCGATTAAAATCACAAATAATCTACCAAGTGATCTTCTCGCAGAACCTAAACAAGGATCCGTTTTTTTGTTTGCTTATTTCAAAAAAAAAAAAAAAAGTTTTTTTTTCTTCTGTTACTTTCTTTAAAGCAAAAGCTTCACTCAGCCATACCCTCCCTGTAATCAGTACAGTTCTTCATGTTAGAGTTCAGACAAGTTAGAAAACATAAACCTGCAGGGAAAACTTGCTGCTTCAGGAAGAGTTATTAAAGCCTCAGCTCCAAAGATGGTGCTTTTTTCCTAAGCCCCAGGCACCCAGCTAGCTTCCAGCATGTACCTTCTGGCCACCTATCCAGATATTCACAGTGACTTTAGAAATCTGAAAGGCACTGATTCATTAAAACAGCAACATGTTATGCAAGGATATTAAGCCAACAGGAAAGGTAAGACTAGGGAATGAAGAAATTTAAATGCTTAAACCACTGTAAAGCTTATCAGCAGTATAATGCTTCTAGAAGTGTAGCTCTTGGTATTAAATCATTCTGTACAACAGAATTAAAAAAAAAAAAAGTATTTTGGGTGTTTGCTATACAGAGAACTGTCTTTATCACACACACATAAAAAGAAAAGGTCAGATGCATGAAGAATTCAGAAAGAGAGGTCAAAATGTTACATCCCTCTAGCAAAACACTCAGCAAAAAAAGCCCCAAAAAGCCACACTAATTCCTCTGAAGCTCTCATGCCTCACCAGCAGAGGCAGAGAGCAGCCAAGCCCTGCCAAACACCTTCTGCTGTCTTCCTCCTGCAGAACAGTTACTGCGGCATGGAGAAGCAGAAAAAAACACTTTCAACACACACCAAGCACCTGGAGTTGAGGATCCGCCCATAACCATCTGGCTGCACAATGGCAGTGCTAATACAAGGGGTATAACTAGAAATTAGCAAGGGAATTGGCAACTGAGTAATTAAAAAGGTAATTGAGACAGGGACTGTTTGAGCTGTCACTTCTGATGAAATATACTGCCTTAAAAAACAATGCTTAGCCCAGCTGCCCTCTCCTGCCCGTGGGGCTAGAGGAGAAGACCATGGAGGAGAAGCCAGGAGCCACTTCACTCTACAACACAAGGCTGTACAATGAGGTCATCTAATTCCAGGGATTCTCCAGATACCTATGCATGCAAAGAGGGTTTATAATTCTGTGTAAAGCTATTTCTTCCGTCAATCAAAATGTATTCACACGTAAATTAAGTCTTAATTCTTTGGTCACATGGCTCTTCTGGGAATTGTGGACACAGAACTGTAATTACAATAAAAACTTGCTAAATATCACAAAATATATTAAGTAAAGCTACGGCGTGCTCCTCACAGTGCTTTGCATTTGGGGCTAAGATGGTGTTGGCACCACATGAACGTTTTGGCTGCTGCTGAGCGGTGCTTGAGGAGGGTCAAGTCTTCAAACCTCCCTAAGGCCAGTGTGTTTGGGGGTGGGCAAGAGCCTGGGAAGAGACACAGCCGGGACAGCTGAGTGTTGGTGCCCTGGGGATATCCCACACCATAAGCCTTTTGCTCAGCAGTAAGAGGTCAGGGAAAGGAAGAGAGGACGTTCGAGGTTACGGAGTTTGTCTGCCCACGAGTCTTCTCGCCCTCCTTCCATTTTCTCCCCATGCCCCAGGTGAGGGCAGCAAGAGGCTGGGTGGGTGGTTGACTGCTGGCCAGGGTCAGCCTACCACAGATGTCTTGTGGCAGAATTTGGGCCACACTGTCCCTTGGTCACATTCCCCTGTCCCACGAGTTATCACCTACCCTAACCAGCACCCTCAGACCTCTCTGCTCTGTGGAAGAGGCCCCCACAAACACCCCGCAGGAGGAAAGGGCTGGCATCGCCCAAATCACCAAGGGAAGGCTGCACCTTTATCACAGATACCCATCCCACTCGTACAACCAACTGAGGACGTTTCATGGCAGGCCCAAAATGAACGTCCCAGCAAGAGGTCAGATGGATTGAAGACCACGATAAATCTTAGCATGAGGAAAATTCAGTAGCAGCTTGGTCGCAGATCACTTTAGGGCAGAACTACACTGTTCTGGGTGATCTGGCAGAGCACGGATTTCTTGCCAGCAATCAGAGAACCACGACGTTACTGCTGCTTGTACATGCACACCAGTGTCAGCTGCCAAAACATAAGCTGCTTTCTTCAGATATTTTTACTAAAATGACTGGGACACAAAGCACTAAGAATAAAATACAGCAAGAATAACTCTAACAAAGTGCAAAACCTTAAAAACTTGGAAAGCAAGCATAACTTCTTACATAATATGCCAAAACCCAAGAATGCCATCTGTGTGACCGATGCGGTGAAATTTATTTTAGATTTACTTTCAAAAAGTTGCACGATTAATTTAAAAGGTATATGTATTTTGTAAACCATCTCAGATAATCAGGCAGAAGACACAAACTCTGTGAAACAGTATTTGCAGGTCTAATGTGCCTGTAATTATCTTTAGCTAACATTTAATTGTTATATGTAGTGCACTTTGAAGATTAAACAGTAAAAATACATTTCAATACTGATTGGCTGAAAAAAGATAGTTTCCTAGAATGCAAACAGAGGTCATGTATTTAAGCAGTTAAAACTTGTTGTTTTTTTTTTTTTTTCTTTACCTGTTGTCATGACAATTCCGGCAAGGACTTTTCTACGTGCATGTGGAGATGTGAAATTTTCTGTCAAATCACTGAATTTATCTACAACCAAGCGTGCAACAGCATCAGCTAAAACCTGTAGGATCACACAGAAATGCACATTAGAAAGTTAAAGAAATAATTTTAAAATTACAGCAGCATTATGTTATAAAGATATGCCCTTTTAAATTATTTGACACAATAAATTAAATGAGTTTTTATTGTTCACTTTAAAAATGGACATGAGGCATCAGCAGTATGTCAAGGAGGTGGCATACTGAGCACACGCAGCTCTTTGTAAGTGGAAGCAGAGCTCTGTGCTCCATGTCTATTAAAACAGGGTCAGACAGCCCTAAGCCAAGCATCAAAGTACCTAATGCTCGTGATTGTTATGAACATTTGAGGCTTAGGAGAACAACTGGATAGACAGATAAGTCTGTATTTTCATGCTCAAACCTCCAAACACATCATTTCAGTATCCTCGATATTGGACCTGACAAGAAGATTGAAGTGCAAAACCCAGGCTCCTCAAACTAACATGTAAACCTTTTATAACAGTTGAATTCATTATCTAGCTATTACATAAATAAGAACGAATCTGTTTTCAACACTGGTTAAACATCTTCTATTTCTTATTTTTACAATATATATACAAATTTAGGAATAGAAAATGTCAATGTATCACTCAAAATAAGCTATCTTAAAATTAGGAAGGATTTATCTCTTTCACCTTCAGGGAAACTTGAACACCAGTCGCAGCCTTGCTGTATCCTGCCAGCAGCATTAGCAAGCAACGTCTGTCAGGCTGTAAAGGGACCTAACTCAGAATCACAGAATGGTTTGGGCTGGAAGGGACCTTAAAGACCCCTTTTTCAGTTTAAAACCATTAACCCTCATCCTATCTCCACACCCCCCCCCCCCCCCCCCCAATAAATAGTCCCCCCCCACCTCTCCTGTCCCCCCTTTAAGCCCTGGGAGGCCGCTCGAAGGGCTCCCCGGACCCTTCTCTTCTCCAGGCTGAACCCCCCCAACAAGTTATGATTTGCATATAGGATCATAGAATCACAGAATGGTTTGGGTTGGAAAGACCATCTAGTTCCAATCCCCCTGCCGTGGACAGGGACACCTTCCACTAAATCCAGTTGCTCCCAGCCCCGTCCAACCTGGCCTTGAACCCTTCCAGGGAGGGGGCAGCCACAGCTGCTCTGGGCACCCTGGGCCAGCGCCTCACCCCCCAAACAGGGAAGGATTTCTGCCTTACATCTCATCTAAATCTGCCCTGTCAGTGTAAAATTGTTACCCACTCATCTTCCACCAGCACCGGGACCGGCAGCCAGAGAGGAGGAGTGGATAGCCAAGGAATGAGCTCGGGTCTCTATCTTGGAGTACCAGATGTGACGAGCTTGATCCAGTTGTCTGTGTGTTGGAACCCAGCAGTATCTGAGATGTTCTGGGGCAACCACCTGGCCCACAGGCTGACACACCAGAAGGACACAGGTCCCGTGTCATACCTGCCAGCATCATGTAGAAGTCTTAGATACCTAAGAGCGTCCAAAGTGGTGCTAATCACACATGTAAGCAACTACATCCAGCCCAAAAGGATGCTTGCGGCTGAGAGTCTTCCGCTGGTCTCTCCGCAGTGGAAGATGATCACCACCCTCACCCCTCCAGAGGGCTCAAGGCAAATCAAGAGAGCTGATGGGCAGCAGTATACAGAGCTTGGGGGCACCCACTTGAAACAGCATAAACACTTGAAGACAATCAGTTCTAAAAACAGGCCGCCAGGGTCAAAAGGAAAGAAAGAAAAGAAAAAGGGGGATTGAAGACTGACAGCCTGATTCACCACCATTTTCTTAACAACGCTCATGAGAACCGACAGCCCAGAAATAACACGTGGAGGAGCTCTCAGTGCTACTTTCCTTCTGTAAAAGCTTTAGTAGCCAAGGAAGTAATAATTAAAGCTCGTGTGTCATGATTTCAGAGCTCAAAAGCTTTTTCCAGAATCTGACTGGAAACAGCAACCAGCAGTCAGCGGTGACTGAGGCCACATCTGCACCAAGCGTTGGTCCATGTTTTGCAATTGCACAACTTGTAGAGTCAGAAGACACTTGATAGTGCAAATGCAAATTTTCTTGATGCATTTGAAGGGACTGCAACTCAGAAACTCTTATCAACAGATTGAAAAAGTTTTCATGAACACGATTTTTCTCAGAGGCTAAAAACATGTCTGGTCAGGCACTGATTTTCAAACAAGGTCTTTTTGCTGCTGGACCCCAAATTGTGTTACAATCTGTGCCCTGATAGCACCATGACCATGCAGCACAAAATCTACATTTAGTTGTGCTAGTACTTACCTAATGCAGAAAGCTGAACTTTAAGGGAAATATGCAAAATAAAAATAATGAGTAACAGTTTCATTATCACCCTGGTTTTAGAAATGGAAAATTAATACACAAAAGGCTTAAATGATTAACCTCCCTGCAACCACTGCAGACCACTGCAGGGACAGAAACAGAGTCCCCATTCCAATGTTTTATCTATAGCCTCACTGCATAATTATGGATAAAGCTTCCCAGCTGAAAGTCTTATGCTCCCATTTCTGTAATATATTTATTTTTCTGCTCTACCTTACGTAATGATGTGCTGGACAGGAGAACATGGCTGGCAGCTGGTAAGCTACCAGGCAATGCTGAACTGTGCTGAATAACATTATGATGGAATATACTAGTGAAACAAACGTCCAAATAGGGATGGACCTGATCCACAAAAAGAATACATGCCTCAGACAGGCTTCAAAGCCTGCCAGAGAGGCTTGTCATGCAGGTAATAAACAATATGGGTCACCTCTTCTCCCCAGAAAAAAAAAAAAAGTGTGATGACTGGTAACTGGAGGAGCCTTCTCCAACACTGAGCTACACAAAAACACAAAGTTCAGCACATACCAGAAATGGTGATTCCAAAATGCTGAACCAAAACCAACCAGTTGCCCGGAGTGAACACAGAGGAATGTTTCTTCAGGATCACCGAACACGGGTTACTCACTACACAGTTCCTCAACCCACACGGCCAAACAGAGAGAGGCATGCGATCGCCCATTTTCTGAGGGAACTAGGGCTGGCTGGGGGAGATTATCATCATGAGGTAGGAACAGAAACCGCCAGGTGTTTCTGGGAAGAAATATTGATGACAAAAAGGCTACTTGAACAGCACTTGGGTAAGATGCTTGCATACAGGGTGGACACATTAGCTTTTCCCCAAAAGATTATTTTTTTCACATAATAAGCAAAGCAGAGGAAACTGTGGTGTTGGTGTACAGGCGAGAACATGGTGAGTCCCTTTGGGAAGATGTAAGCTGGCACAGAAGGATAGGATGGGGCTGCATCACAAACAGCGTGGAACTAAGCTGCTGTCAAGGAAACCCAAAAACGCTTGAATGAACATAAAGCCAGACACTGGGGAGGGCTGATAAGAAGGACTAAGCAGAACTCAGGCGAGCCAAAATGATCGCTAGAGATGCAAACAATACAGGGGGAACTGTAGGGGAGGGGAGGAAAAAAAATCACTGTCAGAAAACAGGCAGATATATTAAAGATTATTTTTTTCTACTTGATACTCAAGTTGTGTGACAACAGGTGGGTGGTGAGGAATAAACACTATTAAATATCTACAGATAAAGTTACTAAGGTTTTAGCCTTTTGCAAGAATACTTACCTGATAAGCTAGAATAATTTATATTCTAGACCAGGTGGACTGTTACATTAGCATAGTTAAGAGTCACTAAGAGCATGGAAGAGATGGGAATAAGTCAGGCTATGAACAGACCTCTGCAGCACCAGGAACAAGACTTACTGGTCTAAAATTGTCCTTGCTGTCCCCATCTCAAAACCAAGGACTTGAAGCTCTCTCCACATCAAGCCCAGGCCACTGACCACCCTGGGCAGGAATCTTTCAATTCTCATTCCAACTCTACTCCTTTTTATATAAATAAATACTAATTGGAATAGAAACTGAACTCGTGTCTCACCTTCCCTGTGAGTGCCTTAACATCTGACACGCAGTTTCTCTACCCCCGCTCCTGCATTAAATCATTATTCAAAGTTGGGCAGTTCAAAAACAGAAAGACCTAAAATAGCTGACAGTTTGCTCGTTGAGGCATGTGAGCTCAAGGCTATTTTGGGTGCATTGTTCCTTTCTCTGACGAAGTTACAGTGAATCCACTTCTTTTCCACGTACATAGACAGATTTTGGTTAATACATATCTTACAGCAATGTTGTAGCAGAACCCCCCTGGCCGCCCATGTTTTAAAATATTCTGAAACTGATGAAGTTCAGGTGTGTCTGGATCTGAAGGAAGACCTTGGCAGGCCACAGAGATCACCCCAGATGATCATCTACATGGTAGAACCAAAGGCAGGGGGAGCAGGGGCACCCAGCTCTCACTGGGGAACTGACCCAAGACCTCCCAAATCTTTTGTGCTCTCCTTGGATCTCCAGTGATCCTTCTCAAGCACAGATGTTCTCCCTCAGCTTCACTACTTCTTAATTCCACAGTTTAGAGCCCATGTGAACTTTCACAAGCTGATGAGCAGGGACAGTGCCCACAGCAGGTAAAATCAAGGTCAGTGAGGCCCATTATCTCTCCTCTGACCATGACCAGCACACACAGTTCAGCGAAGGTGGAAATGTATCTACGCTAATAAAGCACAGTAATTATTTTCTAGTGCTTCAAAGTTTCCTGTATTTATTTAAAGAAACTCCTGCCTGGCAGTAGAGTCCCTCACTGCTTATGCAGTTGTACCTTTTAGATTTCTTCCAGTTCCACAGCAATTATTCCAAAATACAATTCATTAACTCCCATGTGTACTTAGTATCCTCTTTTTGCTCAGTTTGAATCTATTAAATTCTCATTCTCTTGGATACACTAAGTAGTCTATTTACAGCTTTACCAGATCTCCAATAGTTTTCATCATTAATTTGTATATCTTTCTATATTCAAATACTTCTTCTATAGTTCCCCCTGCCCCAGGTTGAACCAGGATTAAGATAGCATTTCAAGTAAAAGTAGCCATTGCAGTACTGGTTCTCATGCCATTTCTTCTGCTTAACGTTTTGTTTCAATGTCAGTCCACGATATACAGGATAAATTGAATTTGCAACACAATTAGGTGAATGATTAAAAGTATTCTCTCTAGTGGATTTTTAAAATTAATCTCATCTGCAGCTACACTGCTTATCTGTGTAGCTGAAGTTGCTTTCTCAAAATAGTCCAGCTTTCACTAATCTAAATAACTCTTTAACCTTCAATATTTACAATTTCAATTCTGTAATTTCTACCTCTTTGCATCCTGACTAATCAGCTATCTTTTCAAATAAACAGTTTGAGGAAATCTAGGAAATACCATTATAAAGCTTATATGGAGGTTTTCCTATCGGAGGCCATCAGTGACCTAAAGAGGTTACCCCCATCAGCAGGCTCCTACCACCTGACAGAAACGGTTTCCAACAGCGATGCCAGCAGCCTGGACCAGCAGACTTTACTGGAAGCCACCAAGTGCCCTTTACTGCTGGCGAAGAATGTATTCCTGGGACACAGATCATTTTACTGAGGCACACCAGGATGCATGCCACACATTCAAATCAAAAAAGATGGAACTCTTCTCCCCACAATACATGCTTAAGCAGTGGAACTTACTGCTACAAGGTGCTGTGGAAGCTAAAAGAAGTTCAAGAAAGGGTTGAAATTCAGGTGGCGTGTGTGGGGAAATAATCCATCAAAGACTCTCAGATGGAAAGACACCGTTTCTGGCTGAGAAAATCCTTGAGACACAAACTGCTGAAGGTTAGAAGCATATACTGAGGAAGTATTGCTACCCATATGCTCTTTTCTCAGTTTTTTCCAAGGTATTTGGTATTGGCCTGAGTACTTCCAGGGACAGCCCTATCCCACCTTTGACATAGGTGTGAGACCCCCCCCACAGCCTTCCTTGGAAAGTGGGGAGTGTCTAAGGGAAAAGAAAAAAGGAAGAGAAAACCAGTGATCTCTAGGAGATTTATCTCTGGGTGATAAATATATCAAACATGAAGAAATAGGAAATTCCAACAGAGTATCCACTGCTCCTAAGATATCCAAGAATGTCCTCGTCCCATCTCCTGAGATGTGCTCAGCAGCAGGACTGGCTCTGCGGGTGGAGACAGCCTCAGCCAGCACCAGCATCTCCCACAAACCTCCTGCTTCCCAGCACTGGGCACGCGGCACCAAGGACGGGGTCGTGTGTGGGAAGGAGCTCCTGCCCGGCCCAGAGTGGCTCTTGCTGTGGTTTAGTGCTCAACAACACCCTCTGCCCTAGAAGTCAGATCTGGACTTTGCACTAACAGTTTCCAAAAAGTCAAATCGACTTCCACACTTCATCTGTAAACATGTGACCCTTTTGTTTTCCAAAGCGATTTTAGAAGACTGTTCACATTTTGCTGTCTTCTCTAGGTCTCGTCACCCTTCAATTCTGCAGACCTATGACAAGTCATGCACTTCTAATTATGCTGAAACATGGGAGTTTTCTTCCACGGAGAAGAATAAAACTTGAAGGACACACATTTTAGAGCCCTTGGTATGTCCTGTGGCTTACAGGACACCTCCTTCCATTGAGGGGTGGGAGGTGAAGGAAGGATGGCTATCAATTTTCAAAGTGTAGCTAACCATAAAAATATTTTGTTTCGGAGAGGTGAGTCCCTATAATGCAAGACTGACAACCTCTTCCATTTTAACACACTTGCTGACAAGGTGACAAATTCACAAGGGCTAGTTTTTTCAGCCGGGCATTTTCATCTGCTCTGAGCACATGTTGAGAGACTTACTGGCTTTAACTCACTTTCCCAGCAAAGAGATTTTCCTCGTCGTAGGCAATGCTGCTTTGTCCCTCACAAAAGGTCATGCTGTAAGCAAGCAGATAAGCTTGTTTTGCAGAGACTGGTTTTAAATGTGTTAAATCATGGGATCAGCACCTCGATAACCCACTCTACAGACCGTAAGATTATACTTATGCCCATTTTATAAGCTGATTTCGGATGTCAATTGCACTTCTGTACCATTTGATAGCTTCCACGTGTATTTCTGCATTTAATTTTCTCCAGAGTGCCTGCAGCTACTGGGAGGTATGGGATCACAGATACACATTTCAGCTGATACTCACAACCACCACTGGAGCAGGGATCATCTCTCCTCTCGATTCTTTTTGCTCTATTGCTTTTTTTGACGAGGCACCACAGATTAACACATCAGCTACAGGCACATTTTGAACCTGCCACCCGGGCAGTCAATTCCAACATCTTCATCGGCACAACCACACTGTACTTTTATTATTTCCACTAAGCATTTGACATGTGGATTCTTCCTCCCCTTATATGTTTATAGCTTCCATTTTTTCCCAACCCAATCAGTGTTTTATTTGGTCTACAGGTTATAACAAATCCTATCCTCATTGACATCATTCCTGTACTCTCCAATGTTTGCAACTGCACCCACTTTAGGATTATCTCCAGATTTAACATCTTTACACATCCTGAACAAACACTGTAAAAAAATAAAACAACTCAGAGTTAAAAAGCAAACAGAAGATAAATAAAGCAGGACCTGAAAACATCACAAATGCTTAAATCCCTTATTAATCATTAATATGTACCAGACCAAAATCACTAATATGGAACAGACCTGATATAATTCCAATAACTTGACAGCTAATTATAATTAAGAGCACAGTAATACAACACAGTGAAGTGCAGAAAGGACAATAATGTCCTCATGACAAGCTGATCAAAAGCCTCTGAACAACCAACTGACTTTGAATCAGTTCTACATGAGGCAGTACCAGTAACCTCTCTGTTTCCACCCAGCATATTTGGCATCACTCCTAAAGCCCACCAGGTTCTCCTCTGCACAGGAGCAGCCTTCCTCGGTGCACACCTGTAAGACAGGTGAAATGCAAGCTAGACCTGGGGTATGTGTTCTTGTACACAATATAGGTATCAAGGTCAGTGTAGAAGCACTGGAAAAAATTAAAAATAGTGTTTGTATGGGTTGCTTTTTTTGTTATTTAACACTGTACCCTAGGCACAAATGCCCTGATCATCCCATAAGCTCTGGGACAGCTACCTGAGACTCGGTCAAAACCTGACAAAGGCATGGAGCTCAAAAAACAGCACTACCCAGCAATCCATCTATGTCCCTTAAAGAACAGAGGCTCTGTAAGCTGTTGTACACTGGGCTGCTGGGCAGACAAACAACTTTACCCTCTTAGAATGTCACCACTTTCATGTATCGCCTCGTGCTCTTTCCCACTTTGCTATTCCAGTTTCAGTTTTCACCAGTTTACTGATTCAAGGACTAGTAGCACGTAAATTACTGGCAGTGAAATTTTTTTGGTGGCTGGGGCCAAATCTACTTTTAAAAGCACAGCAGAGAATGCAGTCTGAAACTACAAAATCTACTGAAGAAATCATAACTACCTGAAATAACACAATCCTAGATTTGAAAATGAAGGAAACATTCATCAATAATGCAATAATTGTGCAACATTAAAAAATAAAGCATATAGGAATTTCTAAACGATGCATATTGTCCATGCATTTTGAGAAAACAACATACTTAAAATAGTCACAACATCTACTTACATTCTTCAACACCATATTACCAAATAAGACCAGCATCTTACCATTTCAATGAAATCTAAATCAATGTTTTTGAGATAGAAAAAGGTCAAAGCCTTTAAAATCTCATAACAAACAGATAGAAAGTTGCAAAAAAGTCACAGGCAAGCATTTGAATTTAGACAGGTGTATAATATAATTAAAAAGACCCAAGAGATTCAGCAGAAAGAGGGCAGTTGAACTATCACTACTGTTGTTTGACTGGGGAGAAACACAAGCAAGCAAATAAGGGAGAATTTTTCTTCATTAAATTTAAAATTACTTTGTTCTAGCTACTTTAAATTTCTGGTCTATGTCTGGTACGTTTGCTACTTTCCTTAGTTTATTAATTATTTGATTTAAACTATTTCTCATCCAGATTTACTTGCCTAAGCAACTTACATATACTTATTAACTAATTTGATTAGCGCACAGTCCTTTAGATGACAGCTGTTTAACCACGTCTTGGATACATGCACTGTGTGTTGTTTATTTAGACCCTGGAAATGTGTGTCAACTGCATCAGCCTCACTTAATCTGTCCTTGACTTCCATTATTCAGCTCTGTTAATGCCAACAGTTTCAGTTTGCAGAAGAGAATAATTTCCCTCTCTGCTAAAAGCTTTTGTATCAAATAATAATTTTACTTAAAAGCAGTAGTTCTGACTCGAACTCTAAGTCTTGCCGCCTAAGACAAGCAAGATGCGAATCAAGCTTTCCTCAGCACAAACCATAATCCAAGCTGGCACTGCACTGGGCTTGGTGCTCTCTTACGTGACATGATCAAGGCTGAAAGCATCAGCAACAAAGCCTCCTCCCTGTCCAACAGAATACAAAGAGTTCATGCAATTGTCAGAAGCCGTAAGCGGATAAATCACCTCATACATATATATATATATGCACACACACACATCTACAGAAGCAGAATAAACACCAAAAATGCTGTTCAAGCTGACTCAATACGCATGACCCAGCTACTCTTGGTCGTTATCCAAAGACATCAACAAAACCCAAGGGGCTTCTCACCTGTGGCAAGTGTAACTGGAGCCCCTCACTGGGAATGGGCTGTCGCGATGGGGTCTGGTCCAGCTGCATGTTAAACAAGGATGCCAGGGCCGACTGAGCGGCCCGAGCTTTTGCCAGCTTTTTATTCCTGCCCGAGCCTTCGAAAGTCTGACCGTCCACCGCCACAGCCATGACGAAGTTTTTGGCATGGCTCTCCCCGCTCTCCGAGAGAAACTCGTACTTCAGCCCCGGCCGCAGCTCGTTGAGGATCATGACGGGGTTCTTCCCGCTGGCGGAGGGGTAGGGCGATGGCGCGGGGAGAGGCGACTGGGAAAGGCTGCTGGCTACGGCCGCCGACGGCAAACCATAGTCCCCGCTAGAGCTAAGGGACCCATCCCCATTGGACCCCAGGTAAAAGGAAGCATCAGAAGGGACCGGTGTTTCAAACCCGTTGAAAAGGGTGTCGGGGAAGTCCGCTTGGTCCGAGGTGAAGTCTGTGTTGACCGACAGAGTCCTCCCCATTGCCAGGTGGGCTTCCGAGGCGTTCGGAAACTGGACGAAAGACCGCAGGGCCTTCTCGGCGGCGTGAAGCTTGGCTTTCTTTTTCGTCGGGCCGGACCCTTCAAACACCTGCCCGTTGACTTCGACTGCCATCACAAACATGGGGGCGTGGACCGGCCCCGTCTGGGAGAGGAGTTTGTACTGTAAACCGGGTTTAATCTCATTAAGTTGCATCAGGGCATTCTTTGGCAGAACAGGGCCTGGTGTTTTCTTCCTCTTCTTTGGGCGAAATTTGGAGTGGCCATTGTTGCCTTCCTCCAAAGGACGCTTTCTGCTGCTGCTGCCACCACCGTTGGAGAGCTGTGTCCCCTCCCCGGCGCCTTGCCCACCGCCGTCCTTGGGGGGAACGTTGTCCACATTGCGGTTTTCTTTAACATCGGTGCTGCTCGAACCTGCGGTGCCCAGAAAGAGTAACTTACAATGCCTTCGTTGCAGGATCTTGTAAATGCAAAATTTATAGATTCCTTTATCTCTCTTTGTAGCTGGTTAAGTGATGTGTGCTCACAGAATAAATGTTTTGCAATATGATCAGAGAGAATAATAACGCAACGCAACCTTTTGGTAATTCAAGAAAGAACACACTCAAGAATGATTTTTCAAACTACGCATTTGATACAATCATACAGCAAAAAGCAACTGCAACTTTTTTTTTTTTTTTTTTTTGCATTTAAATCACACTGGAACAAAACTTCTACTCGTAAGTTACGTTTGCCCTGAAAAATGCTTTAAACCAGAAATATAAGTTATAGTAGTATACACCTACAAAACAAAGCACTACCATTAGTAAAATAAAAATGGATGCTTAAGACCAGTACTAGGAGACAGATATTTAATTCTACTTTATTCTTATTTTAGTCATGTTATATTTTTTCTCAGTGATATTAGTTGCTCAAATTGAGAAACTACATAAATAAAATCTGAGCCATGAAAAATTAGGCAGCTCTTTGGTAGGCACCGTGACTGAAGAGTGTTTGAATGCTTTTGTTTCTCTAACTATTGCATATTCTCCAAATTCAATTTTTTAATGCTTTTCCTAGATATTCATTTCACCTCGTCCCAGTTTGCTCAGGAACTACAGCCGCCTGCTGTGCCAGCATGACCACAAGATTACTTCATATATTTCCACACAGCCTTCTATTAAGAAACCTTGTATTTGTCATTTACAAGCTATTTTGTGATTCCTTGCAAAGTAAGAAAACTGCTGTCACAGAGCTGGAAACCCAAAAATCCTTATAAAGATCCTCTCTTCAGACTATGCAGAATAAAAGAAATGTGACAAGAGCTGCGCAATCACAATGATGACATTTTAATAGGGGAAAAAAAGGCATTACAATATCAATTTAATGATTTATTTTCTAAAGTGGGGTCGTATGTCAGAGGTATATTTAAAGAGTTATTTTTGTTATGGCTGCAAAGACCTCATTTTTACCCTGATTAAAAAAAACTAAGGAAATCAATTATTTGTGCTTTATATTGGCATTTGTGAATGAAAAGGCAAATTTAGTAGGTCAAGTATTTCTAACTCTTCTGTTCCAAAACTTCAAAATATCTATATTACATCTACACTGATATTAGGCGATGAAATGAGAGCAAACCATGGTGGAAGCTCTCTTTCACAGTGACAAATTTCAGCCATGCTTTAAGTCTTCCCTAAGAATCTCCTACCATGCACACATCACTTAGCCCAGGTTACAAAGCTGATGGAATGGTTACTAAATTTTCATTTATAACATCCTCCAGCAAAAGCTCGATAGGTTACTCCTTTCGGTGCTCAAAGAGAAAAAAAGAAGAAAAAAAAAAAAAAAAAAAGATCAAAAGAAAAAGCCAAAGTAGGAATACATTTTGTTAAATCACAGTAGCACAGCAAAGAATTGAACAGTACTAAACATTAAATTCCAGTCAACTAAATTCAGTTAAGAATGAAACACTAAATATTCTGAAGCATCTCATTGCTAGAAATATGCCAAATTTAATAAAGTATCTCTTGTAACATTCAGCCACAAATTATATTGCTTGCAGAATGTGTGCTGTGGGGCCATAACTGTCAATACACAGTGCTAATGTATATATATTCTTTTATATATATATATAAATAAATATATATATACACGGTGAAGGAATCTAAGGACAGTGGAGTAAATATTTAAATCTTTCTTTACAGTGATTTTCTTACCTGAAGCTATAATCTCAATAAATTACATCTCATCTAAAACACCATTTCTGGAACGTTGCTCTTACTAGCGACATCAGCAGTTTGCTATCAACCAATAAGACTTTTAGGCTAAACAGAAATCATTTAGTTAACACTAATTAGCGGCCTGTGTTTTTAACTTTCTTTTTATATGAAAACTACTACCAGTGCTTGCAGAAACCACAGAAGGAAAGTAGGAGCTGAATAGTTTCCAGCTAAATGTAAAAAAACCCACAACTTTTGCATGTAAGTACGGCAGCTGGAAGAACTCCTTAATCCATCTCATGACACAAGTAGGTGAAACTATGTCCTGACAGAGAGGAGGGACTTGTAGGAAGCAGGAAAGAAACTTGCACGCTTACCTTGTCTCAGTAAGAAAGAACGGAAGAAAACTACTCCTTGCCTGAAAGCTACTAGGCTTGTTAGCTTTGGAGAACCTGCAGGGTGGAAGAAACTAGGAGAGAAAGCAAGCAGGGAGCTAGCAGCCTCAGTCAAACCCAGAGACTGTGAAAGTAGGCAAGTTTCTACATCATGGAGTTGATCCGAATCAAAGTCTTGCACGAGATGGAAAGAAAAAGACTTTCCATGAAAACCAGAAGGACCCAGGTTTGCTTCAACCCACAGAGTCACCGGATTGCAAGGAAGAGCAACTGTTTCTCCTGCTGAGGGTGAAAATGTGCTTTTGGTCCTTTTCTTTAGCCAGCAGTGCCTTATTACCTTAGGGCCAGAGCAGACTTGACAGATCAGTCAAAAAGTAAGAGTAGCTATCACCACCTGCTAAAGTCAGAGAACTCATCTCGTTTAATCTTACCCATTTTCAGACATGGAGGAACTCCTCCAGCCCAGCCTCTCCCCGCTGTTCAGAAACAGCTCTCCCTTTTCCAGGCATCTCACCTCCTTAGAGAAGTTAAGAACAGCCTTACCAGCTCCTGCTAACCTCACCCAGCTCCTGCCTGTGGCAGGGCCACCGGCACACCCCAAGAGAGGGTAGCAACCCGGAGGAAGGACACACGGCCCTTCCCCAGGGCAGGCTCCCGGTCCGCGGGGAGCCGCACCTCCGGGCTGTCCCAGAGAGAGTGGCAGGGAGCCACCGACGGGGGTTTTCCCCTCTAGAAATTTTTCTGATTGGCTTTCAAGACCCCATAAAACCTTGCTATTCACAATGTCCTGGGCAATGCATTTCAGTTTCATCGCCCACTGCATGAAAACATCTCCCATCGCTTGCTTTGAACCCCATCTGCTAGTCTCACTCAACGCACCTATTGTTTTTTGTTATTTTTTCAATTTGATGATTTTAATATTAAATGCCCGCTTCTGCACATGATTTTACAGAGATCTCTAGTATTTCAACCTTGTCCCTCCTCTACACCCCAGGGCTCTAACTGTCCCTTGTCCTGAGGTCATCCTTTCCTTACAGCAGTGGACCCATAGCTGGACACACTGTGTATCTGCTTTTCTTGCTCTATTCTGCAGTCTTTTTTTATTCTGGTAATATGTTGTTTTAGAGACCATAAGACTTTGGGGAGTCTCTCACTCATTCCAGAGAGAACGAGGGAGGCCATCTTTACCCCCTGAAAGCTCTGGCTGATTTAGGATCCCATCAGAGCTCAAGCTGGGAGCATCAGTACTCAAAAGGAGCAAAATCTTGTTGCTCTAAAGCAGAAGTCATTGCAGACATGGACCGCCACTGCATGCATGTTCTGAAAAAAAGCTTAGGTCATTTCAAAGTATACTGGTCTGATTTGGAAACCAGTATTAAGCTTTGCGCTGCCAGCATCATTGCTAAAATAAGGCAGGAAAATGAGAACTGTGGATGTTAAAACACCAATAGAAAGTATAAGTATAGGAGAGAGCTGGCAGGAGAAAAAAAATTACCATCTGAATTATATAACAAAAAAATAAAATCTCTGCATTCAGTAATGGACGCTCTTCATTACCCTTTTCTCTCTTTTATTAAACTTTTATATGTTAACATCACATGTCTTGCCTCAGAAAGGTTACAGAGTCTTGGTGGATTTCCTAACATGCCCCAAAATCAAGAGGTTTAAAACCAGATTAATCCTAGAGTTTAAATATACTTTCAAGTCTATGCTTTTTCCAGTCTTAAAGTAAGTTTTCAAGGAATTAATGCATTAGAGAGCCTTTCGAGGTTCATCATGGCTGCTGTGTATTCAACACTATAAAGTAGCATTAATATAAACAGTTGATAATGGGATCCTGTTTTCTTAAACATTAATATCACCCATGATTTAAGAATAAGACATTTTTTATAAGACTAGCTTATTTTCTAAGCACTAGAAATAGCTGGCAGCTTTGAATGGAGACATCTGTAGAAGCTGTCTTCGTAAAAATCATAGCTGACAGTATCGTATGCTGACAACTTCAGTGGAAGAAAAGTCCTGCTCCTGAAATCTTGTTTAAGAGGCTTACAAACCCAAGAGCACTCAAAGAAGGAAAGAGGAAAAGGAAATTTTCATGCCAGTAAGGAAAGAAATCTTCCATCTGAGTGTGTCAGTTTATTTTTGGTTTTATTCCCTATAATCAAAAACTGTCTGTAATTAAGATGCTTTATCCACTGGGGAAATTCCATTACCTGCTTGCTGAGAAACAACACTCTCCCTGCTCCATCTGAACTGGAGCACTCCTACTTAAATTTAGATGACGCTTATCTGAACTGAAAGATGTTTCTAGCCACTCCATACACTGCTGCTCTCATTTACTGGCCCGGGGAAATTCTAAATAAGTCATATTTCCATAAAAACAGGCAGAAAAAAACCCCATGTGACCTCTTCTGAGCATCTTTTTGGAAAAAGGGGGAAAAAGATCAGAGAGAAAGGTCAGGACAGCCACATGCTAGTGTCTCAAGTGTTCTGCAAAATGCCCTACTTTTCCCTTGCCTGTAAGGTAATTGATAACGATAGGCAACAGTGTGAATTTACACCTAGCAAATTATTTATTTCTATTCTATTGATGCTTCTGCGGGGCGCTCCGATTTGATGCTGAGATAATATGCAGATAGGCTCCTGGCACAGATTCCTGGGGCATTCAGAGTGCTGCAGACATACCCTAAATGCAAAGCAACAGAAAACCAAATAAAAATATCACAGAATCACAGAAAGGTTTTGGGCTGGAAGGGACCTTACAGACGATCTGGTTCCAGCCCCCCTGCCCCGGGCAGGTCCCCCTTCCCCCAGCCCAGGGGGCTCCCAGCCCCGTCCAACCTGGCCTTGAACCCTTCCAGGGAGGGGGCAGCCACAGCTGCTCTGGGCACCCTGGGCCAGAGCCTCACCCCCCGCACAGGGAACAATTTATTCCTAATACCCAATCTAAATCTACCCTTTTTCAGTTTAAAACCATTAACCCTCATCCTATCTCCACCCCCCCTCCCTCCCCAATAAATAGTCCCCCCCCACCTCTCCTGTCCCCCCTTTAAGCCCTGGGAGGCCGCTCGAAGGGCTCCCCGGACCCTTCTCTTCTCCAGGCTGAACCCCCCCAACTCTCTCAGCCTGGCCTCCCAGGGGATGTTCTATTAAAAAAAAAAAAAAAAAAAAATTTCTTTCCCCAAATCTCTTTTAACATCTTTGTTATGTTCAACTGATAAAGGAGTAAGACCTTAAAACCTGAAGTCTGAAACACCATATTGTCTCAAGGATATTAATGTAACCTCATTACTCTCACATTTCAGCTGAACCAATACAATTTTAATTCTGGCTTCTGCAGAGCAATTCTAGTTATGCAACTGCAAGCTACAAATATTCCATATGCCCACCTTCCTTTCCTGTAAGAAACTTCCCCAAAAAAGAACTGCATAAAATAATAAAAAATTTAACAGGCAACTTCTGATATTGTACTTCACAATCTTAAGAGACATTAAAATACAGAAAGACAAAAAATGTTTACAAAATCTTTGCACAAATCAAAGTGAAGAACTTAAGAATTTGAACTTTGATTTCTCCCCCCCCCCAAATCTGATGATTTAGTATTTCAAATTCATGATGGCTGTTTGGGCACATAGATGCAGGAAGGTCTTCCTGCACCTTATATTAATCAGGCTCATCCAAATAGACACTGTTACCTGTAGCTTCCTTTCAAGAACATGGTACAGATGACATCTCAAAACATACTTTTGGGAGACAACTGCGGTTATACAAATGCATGCCCCAAACCTTTAACCCACAATCCTGACAAGACAAAACGTTCAGTGAGTGGTTTCCCATATTGATGCACTCACACAAAAAAACCCCAAAACACACAGCAGCAAACAAAAATTGAGTATTTTGCTTAAGGACACTCACAGATTGTCCCCAAGAGATGATATTTTCTCCAGCTCAGGAAGGCACCTTTTATTCATACTCCTTATTTCAATAAGGTGATGTTTTATGAAAAAAAAAATCTTATGTGAAATATCCAATTACAGCTCTTATTTATTTTGAAGTCCTCCTTACAGAGATCACTTTTAGAAATAGCTAAAACATCCATCTGAAGTAATTTCTTTTAGATCAAGGAAATGAAAGTGTTAGGAAGCATATTCCTACTGAGTTCACTGTTTCAGTCAAAGAAAAAAGATGCATCCATATAGTATTTTTATGTTGTTTTTTTTTTTTTTGGAGGGTAGTGTTGGTGTGTGTTTGTTTTTAAACACAACAATCTAACCTCTTCATCTCCCAATACAATTATTCTGTAACTCTTTCAGACTGAACTACAACTCTTCTGCTCCAAAGCCTCCTACACTGCTGGGGCTTTGTCAGCTTTGCCAGAGATGTGCCATTTAGACAATGTCACTTAGGGGAAAAATAAGTGCATTTGTTATTACATCATATACAGTTATTTACAGTCACACACAGTACACCAGCATAGCAGCAACAGAGCATTTCTCTCATTCACAAAAAAAAGATAGTTGAAAGGCCAATAATAGCACAAATATTTTTATAATGTTTTAATGAGAACACTTTTCTCCACAGATTATCAGATCTTAATTATACTACAGACTTATCAACCTCACTGCACTTTGGTAGTGTATGCATCAAGATGATCACTATTTTTGACTATTTTTGTGCTTTAATAATTCAGTAGCTCTGGGTTGGAACAATCAGCATCTAATGAGAATAATCAGCCATGCAAGACCTGCAGGGAGCTCTTTTAGCTCCTCCCTTTGCTTTTCTTCGCTCCATTTTTGCTTTCCCTCATTTAATTTACACGCTTCAACTCCATCGCCTTTGTGCCACCTCTCCCTTCTGACTGGGCCCTAACCCTTGGCAGCAGCACTACCGGTATTCTCCTCTTCTCTCTTCTTCACTGCCGGTTCAAAACAAGAAAATATTTTGTTTGCTTAGTCAGTTGTTGGAAGAAAAATATGAAACACAAGGTATAACTAGATTAGCATACAACCATGTGTATTTCAAACACTTTTAATGCAAAAGCTTCTACACTGTATTTTAAAACATACAAAGAAGTAAGTTTAATTTGTGCTTCCAAAGTTTCTTTGCAGTCGTCCCTGTGCTCCTGAGAAAAAGTAACCTTCAGAAATTATTACATAGTTTATTACTGTGTAAATAAACACATCTTACTCATGTTTTCTTCATCGTCTACATCCATTGTGAAATATTTTTGCTGGTTTCTTGGCTGGCGGAGACTGCTTCTGTCTGGAAAACAGAGAGTGGGATATTTAAAATCCAAGGTACCAACACACAAGGTAAAGCATTACAACTCCTTTAAAAGCAGCAGCCTGGGCACTGGCTTTGCTTTGGGCTGCCCAGTTTTTGATCAATTTTCACATAGTATTTCCCCAAAGTGCCTATTTCTGTAGCTGAGGTGCACGCTGCAGAACTGCAAATTTGACAAGTTTTGGGTTTTTGTGTGATGAGCTACAATATTTTTTATCTGAAGGAGTATGTAAACTACTTTATCACACTGCTATTTTTTTTTTTAAACTCCAGAATAATGTCAAATCCACACAGACAATTCAAGCAATCAAAACACTGAAGATGAGTTTTTTACCCAGCACTAAACTGATAAATGTCTGTTTGGTTTGGTTAAATCCTGACCCAAAAACCCTCCTAAAATCAAGATGATCATCAACAACAAAAAGATGTTGCCCCACATCAGGTGAAGGACAGAGTGGGCAGTGTAACCCTCTCTCCTACATGTGGAGCCCTTATTAACTGAAATGTCCAGGCGATATTACATATAGGTTATCTGGCTGTGGGGAATTTGATTTTATTAGCCACAGTGACTTTCATTTCATCAAAAGACACTGATCTAAAGGCAAGTATAAGCACCTGACATGCAAACTATATAATCTACCAAGCATTTGGTTTGAAAGAAGGCACCGCTTTTACCCAAATCAAAAGCACTAATTTAAGGGTCATGAGTTTTGTGGCTTTGGGTTTTTTCCTGAAAACTAATCAAGTACTTAATTCCTGTTGCTTTCTAGTTAATTGCTCCAATCTCATAACGCCATGAGTGATCCAACAGGGAGCACTGAACCCCAAAGCCACACAGTGACTTGTACTTTTAACAAAAAATCCATTATTACAGTGAGGAAAAAATAGTGGAGCATTAACCGGCTTCACATTCTTACACTGGAGTGGATCAAACTGTGTAAATTTGTCTTATACTTGCCAATCTGTTGAATTTTGTGCATTTGCCTCTCATCCTTTCTGAAGCATTAACAACTACACACTGAGCTTTCCATGTTCGGAATTACGATTTTTTTTTTTTTTTAATATAATGCATTCATTTTCTGCTGGTTCTTTACCACAATTAAATGTTTGGAAAGTACCTGAAGAGATTAAATTCCAGTACAAATTCAAAATTGTTCTGTGATATCTAGTTTCGTGTAACATCTGTAAATTTTTAATCCTTTTGCTGACAGATTAAATTAAGACTGAAGGCCTACTTTTAAGTGCGTCTTTGATCCTACTCCAAAACTATTTCAAATAGTCCACAGAAATCACAGGGCAAAACTTCAACCTTTTGTTATTTCCAATACTACAGTTATCTCCCAGCACAGATTCAGTTGTTTACTTAGCTTACTTTTACCATAGACAGTATCGATTCTAATTATCCATGGACATTTTACTGACACTGTACATATCTGAAAAGTTTAACAACTTCACAGATGCTTTTGGGTAAGTGTTCAGGATACTGAGGACTTGGCAGAATGAGAGATACCCAATTCAGCCCAAGGCTGTGGTCACATATGCCAGACCAGATGAGAGAACCAATTCTCAGCACCGGTACATCGTTACTGGTACCAGTACAAACACCTGGGCGCTGCGGCTGGGAAGAAGAGAGGCATGGTGATGTCTTAAGAGGATACTGCCAAGAACGATAACACCTTGTGAAACCAAGGGCTGAGGCCAAGCTGGAAGGGATGGGGAGAACAGGCAGGGAAGCAGGAGGTTGCTTGTGCCTTCAAAAGCATGGGAACACTGGAAGGCAGGTGGCATAAGAGACACTGCTCGGTTTCACGCTGCTGTATGGGCTGGCACAATTTATACCACTAAAGTATTTGCTCTACTATATTATGTTTTGCCCTTCTCTCGGTGAGGACACACATCTGTGTTTCTCATCCAGCTGCCTGCATCAAATATTTAGGAACTTCAGTGCTTTGAGACTTCTTTCAGTGTCAGTGCTGGTGGAAATCAGATGACAGAATCAAAAGTTATCAAGAAGAGGAACCATATGAACCAACATGGTCACTTGATAAGGTTGACACTATAAAATCAACACTGATTTTAACATAGCCAAATGCCTGCTCCCTTCCCACTCCTTGTGGGAAAATCTAGCTTGAATTCCACTCTACTTTAAAACTGCAGTCAGCTTTAGCTAGTACACAAAAGGCAGAACTTTGCACTGATGTTGTTCTTAATGCACAGATTGCATACTATAGTAATCTGAAGGCGTAATATGTAATTACCAAATTTTGCAAAAAGAAACTGGCCACTCCACCCCAATTTATTATTTTAGTAGACACTTCACGCGAAGCATGCAAAAGCATGGTGCAAATCCAGAGTCCAGGCATAAACACCAAACAGAATGAACTGCATTGTCCTGTTTTGTTCTTTTTAAAGTCAATTTGGTTTTATTTTTGCCAACATAAAAAATTTTAAAATCCCACAAAAACTTCCATCCAAGAAAGAAAGATATGTAGGGATACAGAAAGAAATAATACATCTGGCTGCTCAAGAGTAGTATAACCCATGGGGATCATGCACGTGCAGTCCTCCTCCAGCACCCCAGCCACCCCTGCAGTCCAAACTCTGGCTGAACCATCGATCCATTGATCAACACACTCAAACTTCATTGCTGATTTGCCAGGAGATGACTTATCACTGCATGACTTGCCAGTGAAACTGTCACACCAAACAAGTTTTTTTAAAACTGCAGCCACTGGCACATAGGTAATATACACTTTTACATTTTAATCAGAAGCGTCAAGAAACTTAAGTCCAAAAATAAGTGTCAGATATTGAGAAATGAAGAATGATGTTAAAATGTACATATAGATGTGCAAGTTTGCAACTTTAACATCCATGCTAAATACTGTTATTCAGTAATTTCTAACAATGAAATGTGTTTATCTTCAACTAAACAAATCCTCAGCACAATACTACATGAAATCTTTACAGCTTCCTTTTCACAGCAGGAGCTAAGCAGCCCGCACTGAAAATGTAAAATGTGCCTTTAGCGATCATTACGCTAATTAATGCTATACCTCTAATAGTAGAATGAGAAATAAATACATCTCTGTGCTTGTCACCATTTCACAGTTTCAAAAACAAAGCCCACATGCCTGCTGATATCCCAAATCTCCTACTGCCACCGCAAAACGTTTATCCCAGTTTGTGACCTGAATGACTGTCTTTGCTCAGGCAAGACAATTCCTTTGCAGTCCCCAACCCTGTCTGTAGACGACACTGATTTAAGTAACTAAGAGTTTTCTGCACAAACAGGGAAGAGAGGCAGTGACAAGACGTAAAAACACACTTCTGAATATAATGAAGATGTTCAGATTCCCACTAGTCAGACAGCATAAACTCAAGCAGATCATAAAAATATGGCAATTAAGACAAGCAAATCCTTGCTAATTTTGTCACCATCAGTGCAGAATTTCAAGGGACACAGAACTAAAATACTTGACCGGCACATACTACTTCTCCCAAGACTGACAGGAGCACCTAAAACAAATCACAGAATTTCCACAAGTTGGTTTTTTTTTGTTTTTGCTTTTGTTTTGGTTTTCTTTTTAATCCAAGGCCTATGTGTAAAATCACTATGTAAATTCCAGTTTACATGCATCAAAGCTTTAGGTAAACTGTGGGTTTCAGAGTGTCAATCTCTTCTGTGCCCATGTCATTATTCACCTCGTGTACAACAACCTCTCCACTGCTCTGTAACAAATCCTGTTTTCCACATAACGTGCATATCCAAAGAGCTGCTTAGACCATTGCTTCCAGCCTGGGTACACACACACACGCACTCATCCACTACACAGTGGGTTGCTCTCCTTTCTCCATCCCTTTCACTTCACAGGAAACTTGTGCAGTTCTTTGCACCCAGGCCTGTCCCATCACCACTCCCATACAGCTGTGAGACTGATTTAAGCTTCATGCCACAAAGCCATCAGCCCCAACTGTCCCACCAGGCTTTCCTGTGAGCACTGTCACACCAGGAATGAGCTCCCTCTAAGTATCCAGAAAGCTGTAACCGTATGTCCTTAAGTCCCATCCCGAAGTTCTCTCCTGCAGCAATGCCTAAAGGTCCTAGAAACTGGGAGCAGGTCTGCGAGCCCACATTGCACTACTGATCTGGTGACACCACTTAACGTACTGGTTATATTTCCTCCCACACCACTAAACTGACAGGCTTCACCCCCAAAGATGCTCATGCCTCGTTTGACACAGCATGAGACAGCTCCAACCCCAGTGCAAATCCCCTTAGCGTCAGAGGATCACTGACATACTTTAGGTGGGCTATTCCTCGTATGAGCTGAAATACTCATGATGACCTGAGGGGGATGCAGAGCTTCCCATCATGTTTTATCCCAGCTGCAGGCTACAGCAGCCACAACCCTGGCTACTTCCCTTCAGGCTGGCTAGCAGAGCCTGCCTCATGACAGCATCTGTCCCAGTGCAATAATGGGGGCACAAACAAAGCAGTAACTAAAGTTGCCACAAACCAGGATATTTTACTAAGCAGAGTAAAACAAAAAAGTCACCTCAATCACTCTTCACAGGAGTCAGAAAAGCCTTTCAAACATACAAGTGGAAGCTGATCAGAGTTCAGCTTTTTTTTCAGACTTCAACAGCTTCTGGATTTCATCCATACACCAAAATATGCCCCGCTGTGCTGAACATAGCAGCAGTCACCTCTGCTGCTTAATATGGAATGAATTACCAGCCTTTTCAGTGCAGGTGATTGTGTTGCTATGTTAGTGTGCTATGCTGAACAAGAAATTGCAAATGTGTGTATTATTCAATGATGGCAAGCATGTGGTTTTTTTGCCTTTCTTGCAGTACAGCCTGTCCCCAGACCCACTGCCACTGGGGGCTGGAGCAGCGATGCTTGCATCAATGCCAAGTACACAAGTGCCAGCAATAATCAACGAACAACAGAAATACTTCCTGAGGAAGAAAGG